AATTCAGTTAGTTTATTTACCAATTAAGGGCCCTCATGGGACAAAAAGAAAGTACATTGTAAATTAACATTTATATATAGTCATATACATGTAATACAATATACATACACACAAGAGAGAAAGTATACATGCGCGGCTCTAGAGGGGGGTGGGGGGGGGTGGGGTCCGGACTCCCTCCCCCCTCCCCTAGAATTTGCAGAGTTATTAAAATGTATATAGTAAAGCAACTTAAAGTGACCTTGGACACCCCCCTTATTAGAAAATGTGGAGCCCTGTTAAGCTGATAGGAAAAGTCATATATATGAAGCTTATGAAGTGAAGTGGAGCGGCTACCCCCCACCCCCACCCCATCCCCACCCCACCCAAACGAAATAGGTTTTTGCACATTTGTGAAAAAAGAGTTGAATTTTTTATTTTAATTTTTAATTATTTTTTGGGGGGTTTGTCAAGAAAATTTTAGGTTGGATTTTTTTTTGACTGGGGTGGACCCCTCCTCCCCCCCCCCCCCCCGGAAAAATTCCTGGATCCGCGCCAGCTATACCAAATAACTCTCTTTCGAACCAACGAACGAACGAACAGACGATCTTAATCCTTTAATCACACCGAAACAAAGAAAATATTTTTTGAATTATAACTGACAATCGGTTCAAAATATTGACTTTTAATTTGATTACGATGTTAATCAGAGTGTGAGAAAAATAAAGGCATTTAATTGTTCACACTTCCGGTACTGTGAACAGTATTCTCAGTAAAATGGCAGGCGGTCCTTTCTGGACATCCCACTGATTCCAGAGACACTGATTTTGAAGATCTTAAAATATGAATTACTCGAAAGGAGGAGAAATATTTTTGTGAGTTTTTATAAACTGTTGTTTGTGCGTATGAAACGTTTTTGGTACTTGGTTTAACGGTAAAGTTAAACGAACAATCATGCCAGTGACCTTATTTATGCCCCCGTATCGAAGATTCTGGGGTATATAGTTTTTTGCCCTGTCCGTCCGTCTGTCAAGCTGTCTGTCTGTAGGTTTTTTCTGTTTCGTGAAAACTTTAACATTGCTCTTAACTTTTGATTGGTTGGAGCTATGGCTTTTATATTTCACATGTGTATTCTTTATGACAAAATCTTTCTTTGGGTACCATTATATATGACATTTTGACCCTGACCTTGGATTTTGACCCAGAATTACAAAATTTTACCCAACTTTAACTTTGGTCATAACTTTGAACTGTTGGTGCTAGGGCTTTCATACTTCACATATGTAATCCTTGTGACAAGACCTTTCTTTGCATACCAATGACTTTGACCTTTTGGGTATCAGTGTTTCACAAACACATCTTGTTTTTATTTATATAATTTCTTTATTGCATAATACACCTGCAACGGGAGAGGAGAAAAATGCAGCGGACCAGATCGGGATTCGAACCCGGGCCCCCTTAATCTCCAGTCAGGTGCTCTACCAACTGAGCTATCTGGCCACCGGCGATCGAACCCGTCTGACCGCCACATTCCTCCCCCCTTAAAGGTCTTTGGCCCCCCAAAGACTCCAACCCAGGCTCTTCCCTGGCAGGTATCTCACCTGTCACTTCCAGGGTATGGCACGGCACCAAATATTATGTAACCGGAAGTAGAACTGTTTTATAGATAAATCAACAAAGTTAATAGCCAACTTGGCTTAGAGCAGTAAACTGCCTCCAGTTATGATTGTCAACCCCTGAACTATGATCAACGCTAAATGAAAACACAGTTGTAAGTTTTATAAATTTAATAAAGTGAGAATTAACCTATGTAAATGATAACAAATAATAAATAATAATCAAAATTTAACAGAGAATAAAGTCTTTCAAAATTGCACAGGAATAAATGGTTTTATCAAAAATATAATTTAATTTGGCAAGTGAATCACAATAATCTCAATAAATAAATAAGAATTTTGTGAAAAATTTAATAGGAAAAATGGGAGGAATGTGGAAAACCTATGAAAATAATTTATGTCCCTACTGAGCTTCCATACTTATGAAAAAGGTCAAAAATCCTATAAAAACTGCTATAAATGTCAATGAGTTGGAAAAATGTTAGGGAAATGAGCTACATCACCCAATATGAACTCTACTATTCAACACTCTAGAGTTGAACTTAAAATAATAATGCTAAATCTGGACTCATAAGTTTGTGTAAAACAGGAAGACACATATGATGGATCGTGGCCATAGCATTTTTCACACGCACTGAAATTTTATTTTATTTTTTTTCAACATGAGTACACTCGTTACCGCAAAATATTTTCACTGGAAAATGTTTCTCGAATAGTTATTATTCTTTTTCTGTTTTAATATTTTGCGGTAACGAGTGTGCTGTATGTGTAAATCACGATTAATTGTGTAAAATTTGGCATTTTCCCGGAAAAACTCGAACCACGGTGAGGTTTAGAATTTAGTTTGACATAATAAATATCCGGTTTTGACGGAAATATTGTACATGTGAAATGTGTTAATGTTCTAGGGTGAGAATTATCAAAAACATTCATTCTGAAGCCATTTTAATTTTTTTCATATTTACTAGGCCAAATAAGGCATATTGTGGGTCGAGTTCTTTGTGTTTAACTAAATTTCAACGAAACTATTCACAATATTTCTATCAAACTTCATTTGCTTATACATATTGATGAGAGCTATCAACTGCCTCAACATTTTCTGACCCTGACCTTTCCTTTGACCTTGCTTTCTTATACTTATGATTATCTCAATTCTAAGAAACTTCAAATATTTTTTTTTTTTTTATCAAACCTTATATGCTTATACATATCCATAATAGCTGTTCAACTTCAAACATTTTTGACCTTGGCTTTTCCTTTGACCTCGAACTCAATTATCTTCAATTAGTATAAAGCTCATTTTTACAGAAACTATTCAAGATATTTTCATCAAACTTCATATACTGATACATATTGGGTAGAGCTATTCAACTTTATCAACTTTTTTACCTTGACCTTTCCTTTGAACTTGACTTAAAATTTGTCTTTAGCTAAATTTCAAAGAAAGTATTGAACATATTTTTATCAAACTTTAAATGCTTATACATATTGATGAGAGTTATTCAATGGCATCAACATTTTGACCTTGACATTAACTTTGACCTGACCTCACTTTTTATGCCCCGCCATGAATATGGCCGGGGCATATAGTGTTTGTCAGGTCCGTCTTCCGTCCTGCCATCCTTCTGTCCTTCCATCCTTCCGTCTGTCCTTCCGTCACACTTTGCGTTTAGCTCTGTTCAAAGCTCAGTTTCAAAGAAACTATCCAAGATATTTTTATCAAACTTCATATGCTAATAGATATTGATGAGAGCCATGCAACTGCATCAACATTTTTTGACCTTGACCTTTCCTTTGACCTTGACCTCACTTTTCTTAAATTAGTGTTTAGCTCAGTTTTAAAGATACCATTCAAGATAGTGTAATCAAACTTCATGTGTTGATACATACTGATGTAAGTTATTCAACTGCATCAACATTTTTTGACCTTGACCTTTCTTTTGACCTTGACCTCACTTTTCTTAAATTAGTGTTTAGCTCAGTTTTTATGAAACCATTCAAGATATTTTTAACTAACTTCATATGCTGATACATACTGATGAGAGCTATTCAACTGCATCAATATTTTTTACCTTGACCTTTCCTTTGACCTTGACCTCACTTTTCTTAGATAAGTTTTTAGCTCAGTTTTAAAGATACCATTCAAGATAGTGTTATCAAACTTCATATGCTGATACATACTGATGAGAGTTATTCAACTGCATCAACATTTTTTGACCTTGACCTTTCCTTCGACCTTGAACTCATTTTTCTTAAATTAATGCCAAACTTTATATGCTGATACATACTGATGAGAGCTATTCAAACTGCATCAGTATTTTTTGACTTTGACCTTTCCTTTGACCTTGACCTCACATTTCTTTAATTAGTGTTTAGTTCAGTTTTAAAACCATTCTAATATTTTTATCGAACTTCATATGCTAATACATACTGATGTAACCTTTTCAACTGCATAAACAATTTTTGACCTTGACCTTTCATTTGACCTTGACCTCACTTTTCTTAAATTTGTGTCAAACTTCATATGCTGATACATACTAATGTAAGCTATTCAACTGCATCAATATTTTTTTACCTTGACCTTTCCTTTGACCTTGACCTCACTTTTCTCAATTTGTGTTAAAATGTTGCATTACTAATATACCCTCGGTGGGGCATTCATGTCCTATGGACATATTTCTAGTCTCAAATTTTGTTTAGCTTAGTGTAAAAGAAACAAATCAAGATATTTTTATCAAACTTCATATGCTGATATATATTAAGAACTATACAATTTTCTCAACATTTTTTTACCCCATCCTTTCATTTGACCTCACTTTTCTGAAATTTGTGTTTAGCTCAGTTAAGAAACTATTCCAAATATTGTTTATGAAAGCTTATGCACTGATACATTGTTTTTTTTTTACCTAGACCTTCCCATGGACCTTTGACTTACTATTTATTATGTATTAATCTCAGTTTTAAAGAAACTTTTCAAGGTATTTTCATCAAACTTCATACACTAATACAAATTTTCATGTTGCATTATTAATAAACCCTGTGTGGGGCATTCATGCCCTATGGACATATTTCTAGTTTGTTTCCAAACATTCTGATAGGAGATTTCTGCATGCTTGGTGAACTTTAAACATTAAATCAAATGAAAAAAATGATACTATTTCTCAGTAGCCTACTGAATAGCTCGTTATTAGGCTATACATTTTGATCTGCGAATAAACAGTTTTATATTTATGTGATAGCCTTGAATCTAGGTCACAATTAAGGTCACTCATATGTAGCGTTGTTGTTTACAGGTAAATCTGAGTTTATCATCTAATTTTCATGTAATGATTTTTTGTACACGAATTTCTGAGATTTGTTTCATCGCTGTGATTTTTTACTAACCTTCTCTCAGCTGTATATTTTCAGGGCCTCCGACGAGGGACGACGCAAAAGGACCAAGGCCAGCCAACACAAGAAGGGGACTCCTTTGCCGAACTATGTCCGGCTTTCAACATTGGTGAAAGCGGTAAGTAAAAAGCTGCTTTTGATGCACTCTTGAGTTCCTGGTTTTCATTTGAACTGTATCAAAGTAGCTTTTATCACCTGACTTTCTGTGTTATCAGAGTTATGGTTAAGGAAGCCTAGATTCCACTGTGAGATACAACTCCATGGTTTTTTAACAGGAGTCTCGTGTGCAAGGGATCTGCATCCAATCATTGAAGTGTCAGATTCAAGTTTTAACACGTGTACTCGTTCTCTTTTAATGGAGATTGTGACATCTCTTGAGCTCTTTTCTTTCTATCTTAGAGATGCTATGTAAGCAACTCTCTATTTCCAACTCTGAAGAGGAGACTGTCACCTGAAAAGTAACTGTGCTCTGAGTGCAGGGGTCAACTGCAGATAACACAAGGACAGTAAGATACAATGTGGATATATGTATATATATATATATATATATAGACTTTATTTAAATTCCCTTCACAAGTCTTGGCACTCTTCTTTGACTTCTCGATATTCGGTTTTAACAGGTCAAGGCTAGACTGATATTGATCCCTAGACAAAGAGCAGACTGTGGCCTGCCAGAAGGGGTGCAAAGGTTTCAGGGATGGACTGTGGCCAGCCTAAGCATTGATGGTATACTATGCAATCTTTACATCTTGCACTCTGTCAACTTCCTTTACTTTCTCTGTGTTGAGGAAGTGATAGTTTTGCTTTGACCTTTAGACATCTTTTAAACAGGTACAGGGTTAGACTGGTCTCGTTCTGCAGACAAAGAGTACATGATCTACAGCCAATCCCAAACATGAGGGTAAGATAAAATGCACACATTTTGCACTCTGTATACTTTCAGTAATCTGTGTCTGTGTTAATGAAATCTTTGCAATATATTGACCTTTTGACTGTTTTTGTTGACAGCTAGAAGGTTAGGCTTTCATGGATCAAGAGGTTAAGAAGAAACTCTTATGCAGAATAAGAGTCCGCAAGGGAAGAATTGACTGCAGCCAACTCCCCATGTGAGGGTAAAATTAAATTTTAATGACTCTTCCTGGCTTGATATGAAGTCTTCATGTTTCTTTGATGTCTAGTTTCTGCTTTGTTAGCAGAGGGAGGTTTAAGCTGACCTGAAACCCATAGGGAGGAGGAGTTTGTCTCCCCTTCAACTGCAGCTACCAGTGAGAGATGTGGTAAGATTGGGCCTTTCTTTCCTGTACACATTCACTAATCTAGTTTTTAATTGAAAATGGCTGAATCAGGATTTGACCTGTTGACTTCTAATTGAAAGGATGCAGAGCAGCAGTGCCCATGAAGAGGAGGACTAAGGCAAGCTAACAGAAAAAAGAGGTGCAGGAACACCCATGAATAGTATGAGGAGGACCAAGGTTATTCAACAGAAGAAGAGGAGCAGCAGGGCCCATGAAGAGGAGGACAAAGGCTATTTAACAGAAGAAGAGGAGCTACAGGACCCATGAAGAGGAGGACCAAATTCAACCAACAGAAGAAGTGAAGCTGCAGGACCCATGAAGAGGAACAGCAGGATCCTTGTAGAGGAAGACAAAGGCTGCTTGACAGAAGAAGAAGAGCCTATTGCCCAGACTTGACCAGTGGCAAACATTGGCAAAATTGGTGAGTGAAAAACTGCATTTTTGTCTTTTAGACCCCAAATTTTTATTAAAAGTTGATAAAAGCAACTATCTGTACTTCTTTAACATTCTGACTTTCTGTTTTAATAGGAGAATGGTTAGCAAGACTCAATCTTACTGTGAGGTATAACTCCATTGTCATGGAGGAGTGCTCAGAGCAAGAACCAACCATGGAGAAAATGGCAAGTTTCATAATTTCTTCATTTTACATCCTGACTTTTTGTGTCATTAGGAGAATGGTTAGGGAAGCTCCGATCCTACTGTTAGGTATAACTTCATTGTCTGTACCTCGTGAATTTTCTTAAGTGAATGCAATAATTTTTTCTCCAATTTTTGTAGAATTGATATTTAATATTCGAACATGTTAATGTGATTCAGCACCATTTTTCTTGTGATGAAACCTTCCTTTTAACTATGATAGTTTTGGAAAGGTCAAGGTTTTGGAATTGTTTCAAAGTCTTGCACTGGCATAACTTTTAAAAGTATGCTTGATATGAAGAATGCTCACAAATCTGTGCATTGATGAGGCCCAAGAGGGACTCTAAAGCTTTACATAAAAATGTAGGAGAAAAATCTAGAAAAAAAATTCTCAAGCATTTTAGGATGCTAAATTGTCAAACATATACATGTACCAGTATATGAATAGAATTAGGGATGTCAACGAATAGTCGACTATTCGACCATCAGTCGAATGGACCGACGATCGAATAACGAAATGACATTCGAATAAATAAATTCAATAAAAGAGTGATAAAGAGTTGGAATTCTCTTCCTAAAATTGAGAAACCGTCTTCCCTCAGACACAGTCCATAAGATAATTTTCCTCATTAAAAACTGCTGACTTTACATGTAGAATGTACAGTGATTAGAAACGCTTCACTTCCGCATGAATTATTGTCAATTAATGTGTTGTTTTCATAATAAAATTATCTCGCTATACTGCGCTTTCTTTGTAAAACTATTAATTGGACTTGATCTCATACCATGTACCCATTATAGCCGTGACATGTTTGGACACTACGATAATTATTATAAAATTAATATTCTTTTACATATTTTAAAGACATTTTGATAATTGGTACAAAAAGTATATTCAAATATTTAACATTATCAAGGTCACTGTATGTGCCCCCCCCCCCCCCCCCCATCATTTTAAAATATATCATACAGTCATTTTTATGCTTCATAAAAAAACGAATTTACAGACCAATTTATGAACATGATTGACGGTGAAATCCTACATTTTGGAGAAATTAACGGTCTATATTAAGTAAATATAAACACGCTATCCACATTTTAAGTCCATGTGAACATCTGTGTGTAACATTTTATGTAACTTTTTAATCAATTTAAAAAACAAGGGGGAATTTGGGATTAAATATGTGATGTACCAGTGAAGTTTGAAATAAAATTTGTTTCCGAAAAAGTTTCGAATATATTCGACTGTCGTTCGAGTAATGCAATCGAATATTCGACTAAAGAAAATAAATATTTTGACATCCCTAAATAGAATAAAATAGAATAGGATTTATTACCAAATCAGGGCCCAATGGGCATAAACATATAACATGTATAATTACAGATAAGATAACAGACAGAATACAACATATAATGAAGAGCAATTCTTCCCATTTAGTACATTGGTGGTGTTTTAAGTTTCACATGTAGACATAGGTTGTCTTGATTTAAGATATATCTGTACTCTTAATTGATACAACTTAATGTGCAATGATGTGCATTACTATTACTAATATTATACATATAACTGAACACATAAAAAATGTCTGATACATCAACAAGAGGCAGCAAGAGTCGGTGCTAAAGGGTATACAGAAATCCACTTCTGCCTCATGTAGAATAAACAGATACATAATCTATGGAAAAGAGTATTAAAAAAAATTAATAATAATAACAATAATAATAATATAATAATAATAATAATTAAAAAAAAATTGTATGTTGAATGGCATGTGTAAATTATATTAAACTGCAATGGACAGCAAGAGTCAGTGCTGAAGGATAGTATTATTATTTTAATTAACCCACTTCTGCTCAATGCAGAGTATACAACAACACACGCATATTAACAACATAACATACTGTAGTATAAGTATTAAATCAAAGTACATGTACGTAAAGTCAAGATCAACATGTGACTTTGAATTTGTCTAACTGCACATGACTTATAAATTCACACAAATTGCACAGCACATCAACATCTTCACAGTTCATTAACCATAAAAATTGGTTACTTTTAGACATACTATTAAAAAGATGAGATCTCAGAGATATTGTGGAGAGAAAATTAATTCTTGATAGACTATGGCATGGACAACCAAAAGGAAAATGTATTTCATCTTCTACCTCTTTTAATTTACAATTGGGGCATATTCTCTCTTCTCTTGGTATACCATTATGTCGACCTTTTTCAATCATCAGATTGTGAGAAGAGATTCAAAATTTTGTTAAAATCTTCCTTTTCTCAAATTTTCTTAAGATTAATAAATAAGGTTCTAGCCCAAAGTTTTGTTTGATTGTGCAGTAAGTGTCTAACTTCCCACAAGTACTTAATTGTTCCTTCTTTTGATACCACTTTTCAAGAAAATATGAATTAAGAATGCATTTACAATGATATTTAAAGGCTGATGTAGATGATTTCAGATGAGGCATTAACTGAGGAAGAAGTTGTTTGAATATATCAATAGAACCAAACCATGATAATTTGTTTTTTTTTTGAAATTGGATATTGATGCAGTGTATGCAGCTTTTAATAGAGGATATGTGTCATCCAAATTCTCTAACCTATGCTGAACAATACTGAAACTCATAGGGTGTCTACCTAATTCAGAAAGAACAGCAAATTTTGTACTTTTGTTATTTACGCCTAATAAAAATCTACAAAACTTGTAATGTAATTTCTCACAAAGTGATTTAGCATATAATTCATCCAGTGCAACAGGTCCATTTCTAAATCGTGCCATAGTGGTGTTAAGTGCCCCCCCCAAGTTTCACTACCGTAAAGTAGTATGGGTTTTATTGTATGATCATATACGTGTAAAGCTGTGTTTATTTTAGGGTTCAATGATAGGAAATTTTTTTGTAATTTAAAAAGTGCCTTTGTAGCTTTTTTGTAAAGTTCATCCTGAGCAAGTGTAAAACTTCCAGATGCAGTAAAATGAATGCCCAAGTATTTATAAGAAGCAGTACAATCAAGAGGTTCATTGTTTAATGTGAAGTTTTCTTTCAGGTGTCTACCTGCTTTATTAAAAATTAGTACTTTGGTTTTCGAAATGTTTACATCAAGGCACCAGTCAGTACAAAACTTTTCAAGACAATTAAGTTTCTGTTGAAGACCTTTAGAAGACTTGGACAATAAAACTATATCATCTGCATACATTAGACAGTGAAGTAATTTGTCATTTAACTGAATATTGTCATCTGTAATATTACTGAAGTATTCTGGAAGATTGTTGATGAAAATTTTGAATAAATTTGGACTCAGATTGTCTCCCTGTTTAACCCCTAAACTAATAGGGAAAGTTTCAGTGACTTGATTGTTTAACCTAATGCATGATCTGCTACAATTGTACATACTCTTGATTATATTGTAAAATTTAGATCCAACACCAATTTCTAGCAATTTAATTTTGATACCTTCATGTATAACTGTGTCAAATGCCTTTCTAAAGTCAATGAAACATGCATAGAGTCGTCCTTCTTTTTGAGAGCAGTATGTTTCAAATAAAGTTCTAAGAATAAACATGTGATCAGATGTTCTTGCCTTTTTACAGAAACCGATTTGACAATCATTGATAATTTTGTTTTTCATTAGATATTTGTCTAGCCTTTTATTCAATATACTGTTAAATAATTTACCAATTGCACTAGTGATGGTAATGCCACGATAATTGTTTGGGTTATTGATATCCCCCATTTTATGCAGAACAATTATATATCCCTCAGCCCATGATTTAGGATAAAGTCCACGTGACAGGCAAGCATTGAAGATATTTCTTAAAGATGGTAGTAGGGCGTTGTGACCATACTTAATCATATGATTGGAAATGTTGTCTAACCCATGAGCCTTGTTATATTTAATACAAAAAATTGCCTCTGATATTTCTGAAGAACTTATTAGATAGTCCAATTCATTAAAGCATTGCTTATTTTCCATTTGAGAAATTTTCTTTTTCAATTCATTTAGTCTGTCCAAATATGACTCTTTCACCTCATTTAATTTTATAAAATGATCCAGCCATCTATTAGGATAAATATCTGTATCTACTGCATTATTTTTGTCAAGTAGATGGTTCACAAGATTCCAATAAAGTTTGGGATTATCCTCATTTAAAGCATCAAGCCTTACAATTAGGGACTGCTGATATTGAATTCATTTGTGTTTACATAACTTAGCATACTGTTTTCTGAGTCGAAAAAATCTGCCTCTTAAAATTGGATCTTTTGGAAATTGAGACATAATTCTAGCAACATTAATTAATCTATTTTTGTGTGTTTTAGGTCTCCATCAAACCATTTCTTGTTTTTACTTCTTTTTGGTTGTGCTGTTTTAATTTTATTTCTTTTCAAGGATCTAGCTGCAGCATTAATAATAATGTTTTGGAGTTTGTCCACAGCAGTATTCAGAGAGGATAATGAATTCTGAACCTCAAAATTTGCCAAATCAGACAGATCTTTCTGTATGTCTACAGAGGTTAAAGCTTCCTGAAATTTAAATGCTGAATCTTCTGACCATATAAAATGTGGTTCAATAAATTGCATATTACACATATCTTGATTTTTGTTTATTAGAGTTGTAAAATTGGCAGACATTTCCCAGTGTAATAAGCAGTGACAGTCAGATAGTGTAGGATCAAAGTCATTTACACTGAAGTACAAAATCTGATCCAAAATACTTTCAGATATAATAACATAGTCAACCACGCTTGAGCCATTAGGGGTGTAACAAGTAGGTTTTCCAAAAATATCTCCAAATGTTCTACCATTCACTATTCTTATATTTTGACTGATACAAAGTTCAATAAGTTCTTTGCCACGATTGTCTAATTTGTCATCCTGACTTTTTCTATGTCTGATTTCTTTGTCAATATTATATTGGTCATATAAGGGTACATATACATTATCATCACAGGGAATAAAATCCAAGTGATTAGATGTTCTAGCA